ATGCCTCTCCCAAACATATGCTTCCCGGCTTTTCCACAGGATAAAGTGGCTTTGCCAAGTACTCTGTAGTACTGTGTTTTACTTTAGCTTTTTTTTATTTTTCCAGTCCTGGGACCTCGCACAAGCTTCCGGTGAGCCACATTTCCAACCCTTGATTTAGCTTTTGTTGTTGTTTCTTTCACATTTGCTGCTGCTGCTCCCTGTCATTGTTTTTAGGTTGGTCTTTTGATTTGGGAACATGGCTCCTTAGCTCTGTGGCTCTGTTGCTCACTGCGCTGTGTGCTGCTGGCTGTGTCCTGTGCCTGTCCATCTCCATCTTTTCTCCTGGGTCCTGGCACATAGCTGCCAAGGTGTTGGGACTGGGTGCAGAGCAGTAGTATCCACCATTCACTTAGAGACGTGCCGTCCTCTGTTCACCGAGAAACGTGTCCACCATACATCTGAGTACAAGTGAACATTTACCTTGTCCACTGTCTTAATTACTTTTCTCTCATTGCTGAGATAAAATACCCAAAATGAAGGGAAGAAAAGTTTATTTAGCTCACAGTTTGTGGAGGTTTCAGCTCATAATCAGCTGACTCCAAGACAGGGTGGCATGATGAGGGTCACTCATTCATTGTGGTGGAACAAAAGCAACGAGAACAAAAGAGGGAGCAAACCTCTTTTCTGCCCTTATGTGGCTACCTGCCATAAATAGGGCAGGTGTAGCACTCACGCCCTCAGTCCCAGCAGTCAACAGTAAGCCAATCACAAACTCTAGATTCAGCTGCCTCCAAGAAGCGCCCGCTGCCCTGTGACCGCATGAGGCTTTGGGAGGACATGCAGACACAAACCATAACTCCCACCTTTCCGAGCACATCTTCCCTGAAAAGCTTTTGCAGAATATGGCCAGAGGAATTTTTAGATGTGACTCTCCTGGGTCACTGGATTCTCTATACAGTGGCTGTGTTTCTCCTGGATCTCTACCTTCAGGTCTTCATTATCTAGAAGGTCTTTGGATGACTTTGAGTTCATCCAAGGAAGAAATGGAGGAGAAATCTCTCAAGGAGCTTTAAAAACAATTCCTTGCTGACACCCGTGGAGGCTTACTTCAGAGAATTTGATAGTGATTTTTTTTTTTTTTTTTTTTTTTTTTTGGTGCTGGGGCTTGAACCCAGAACCTTGCATTTGTCAGGCAGGCACTTGTGCTGCTGAGCTATAGCTCTGCCCTTGACAGTGGGTTTTGGAAACCCTGAGCATTTCAGAAGAGCTGAGGGTACGGAAGTTCCACACCGTGCCAGGCTGACCAACAGTGAAAAAACGTGTTCTATATGTGCTTTCTTTACTACCTGAGCAGAGTCTGTAAGCAGTAGTTTAACTCTACTTCCTCGTGGTTCCTTTTTTTCTTTTTTTAAAACAGTTGCTAAGGGCCAGCCAGATAGCTGAGCAGATTAAAGCATCACACCTGCTTAGGCAGGCGCAAGGACCAGGGTGTGATCCCAGCATTCCGTGCTGGCTCTGCCCCTGGGGCGCACTGAGATTGCGAATGAGACTGGGTATGGTGGCGCAAACCTGTAATCCCAACACTTGGGAGGCTGAAAACCGGAGGATCACTACAAGTCTGATCTGTGCAGTGAGACCTTATAGGCTCTGTATTAAATTAAATAAGAAAAAAACAAAAAACAAAAACACGAGTTTGGGGCTGGTGAGATGGCTCAGTGGTCTAAAGCACCTACTTAGAACAAGCTTAGCAAAGCACAGGGACCGCGGTTCAATCCCCCAGCACCACATGCCAGCCAGCCCCGCCCCCTGGTGGGCTGAGCTGGCCACACACACACACACACACACACAAATAAATAAATAAATAAATAAATAAATAAATAAATAAATAAAAAACCACAGGATCTCTGTAGTCCGGAATGGCCTGGGACTTGCGGTGTAGCACAGGCTGGGCCTCAGGTTCCTGATTGTACTTTCTCAGCCACCTGGGTGGTGGGACGTGGATGCCATCACACCTGGCCCTCGCTGCGCTAGTATGTTTGCATTCTCCCAGGATTTCCCTTCACTTCCTGCAAAGGTATATTGCTTGGGAAGACATCTGTTATGTTTTTGCAGAATATGGCCAGAGGAATTTTTAGATTATCTGTAGTGTTACACCATATTGCCCCTATTTTATATTTTAAGTTTTAAACCACTGAAAACTAACATCTTGGCTTGTCAGTGGACTTCCTATCTCACTAGGACAAACACTGAGTAGTCCATTATCTGCCTCGAGTCGAGCGCTTCTGCAGGAGGATTTTCCTTCTACTTTGAGTGCTTGTGTACTTTCTTTGCTGCTTGTTTTCACTAAATGTGATATCAACACTTTGAGATCTGCCTTCCTTCTATCAGCCCTATTGGAGAGGTCCCTGGATGATGTGCCTGACTTGTGTCTTTCCTAGGCTGAGGATGTCCCCACCTTTGTCATCAGTCCAGAGGTTCTCAGGCAAGACCCAGCCCACAGGCATCAGCACCAGTGGGCAACTGCTAGACAGATGCACACTATCAGTCTGTGCCCCCGTAGCTGCCCAGCACACGTCCTGGGAGTGAGGTAGAAGGCCTCAGGTGACTGGCATGGCACACTGAAATTTGAGAACCTTTGCTCTGATCTCATCACTCAGAACCGCCCCTGGAAGTGCTACTTTGGATTTTGCCTTTATTTTTCTTATAGCTGTATTGAAGACTGCAGTGGTGGCCTTTGAGGGTTTGACCAACAAATTGCCTGAGCTCTTCAGCGTGTGCCTGGAAGCCTGTGCCAAACCCAGCAGAGCTGGTATCCAGCCCCATTCTTGCCATAAAAACAGGATTTTGCCGCCTTTGTCCACAGCATTGTGAGCTAGGAAGATAATAACAAGAAATGGACAACAGAATAGTGTACACTACGCAAACGACAGTGTGGCATTGATACGAACGTTTGTCCTTACAGATTCAGTAACTCATTCAGACTTCCCCAGGCAGAAAGCCGGATGTCGCTGTGTGGGTGGGCAGCCTTACTTTTTACATCTAGTCATATCCTGTGGATGGTACAGCTATATAAACTATAAAATCCCAACCAATTTAGAACTTGAAAATAGAAAAGATGTGATTATGATAGAAGTATGGTGACTATAAAACAGCTCTCATAAAACCTAATTTTGGAAAATGAGATTCTTTCTGATCTTTTTTTTTTTTTTTTTTCCCACTGTAAAAAGAGACAATATTTTAGAAATGAAAAAGAGGGGCCGGGGAGATGGCTCAGTGGAATAAGTGCTTCCCTGACAAGCGCAAGGGCCTGAGTTCAATCCCGGTTCTGCAAAAAAAAAAAAGAAATGAAAAAGAGACACAAAAGAGGAGGAAAAGAACCGGAGTCCTGCTATTGCGATTAAGATCAAATACTCGTTAGCCCACAGGGTGGCAGTAGCAAACCTGTGCTTGGTCTCTCCTGCAGTTTGTTTTGTTTTGTTTGTCCGTATGAAGTGAATTAGAAGGACAGTAAGATTTTATCCAAACACCAGACACGTAATGGTACTTTCTTACATATTCTGTACCATGTGTTTCAGAAAGATGTTCACAGTGCTGCTGCTTCACATGTGCCAGGCACAACCCCAGCCCAGGAAGTTTATTTGACTTAAGTTGTGAAGATGATTTCCCATTTGAGGAAATGAAAGATGACATTTACGTTAACACATCAAGAACTTTTGATTGCGTAGTTTAAGAAAAATTATTCTAGTGGAGCAGAAATTGGCCTTAATCTAAGGCATAATCCAGATTACTTCCGTACATCATTCTTTGCTTTGGAGATGATGTCTCTAATTTTGAAAGTGAAGTCACAATTTCCCAGTTTAACTCCAAGGACTAAGGATCGCACATTATCTGCCGGTCCTTGTGAGTTCAACCTCAACATTGACGTCACTATGCGTTCCCAGTCACAAGTGTTTGCGCTTGACTTTTCCAACCAAGATGTCAGGAGTCTTGTTAGTGGGTGGCTTTACACAAAGCTGTTATCCAAGCTCAAACTGCTGTGGCGCTTCTAGTCCCAGAGGCTGGTGACTGATAGGCTCATGCCTGGCATATTGAAATGGGAGAACCAGAAACAAGGGGTTGTTGCAGGGCTTTACAGGGAATAAAAGGTCTCATTTCTTTACATTCACATTATATAAATTGGGGAGATATTTCTACTCCCTATGTAAAAGAATTCAGATAAAAAACCCCACAAAATTTGTGATAATCATTGTAAAGTACCCGGAACCTTACATTGTTTTTCCTGCATTCTGCCAACTGAACAAAGCAACACACTGCAGATTTCCTGGCATCTTAGCAGATTTCTTAGTGTTTGTTCTAAGGATTTTTTTTTTTTTTTTTTTTTGCTCCGAATGCCCTCAGGGGGTGGTTTGGCTGGCCGGACTGTTGTGGGGATCGAACTACAGCAACCTGAGGCTGAAAGCTTTGCCGAAGCAGCCACTTAAAGAACTGAGCTAGGGCCAGGCCCCTTTAGTGTTTGTTCTACAAAATGTGAATTTCTTTTGCCATCTTTCTTGCCTCTCTTCCTGATCATTTGACTGTTTTTCTCCTTGGCAAGAAAGCAAAGACAGGATATTATTATTATTATTATTATTATTATTATTAAGATCAACAATAGATCTGTATATAATTTTTTAAAAGTATATACCTGCCTCTGAAATTATCTTATTAAGAATGATTTAATAGGGCTGGGGAGATGGCCCAGTAGAATAAGCGCTTCCCTGGCAAGTGTAAGGACCTGAGTTCAATCCCCTGTTCTGCCAAAAAAAAAGATTTAATAATTATCCTTTCATTTTATTGCAAAAGTCACTATTGTAAACAGCATGGTTAAGAAGGACAGACAGTTAATTATCAAGATGAATCACTTAGCAAAGTAAAAAAAAAAAGCCTCGTGTATAAAAATACCAAGTGATTGACATGTTTCCAAATTTCTGTACAATAGATTTCTATGTAATTTCAACTTTGGTTTCTTCCTCTCCTAGACCAAAACGAGGTTCTTGACCAGGATTGGTGTTGGGTTTGGTGTCCTGTATGCTCAGAGGTCAGTTGCTTGTTCAAAGATGCCACTCCCAGCACCTCTCCCCACCTTGCCAGTCACTTCCTGCCCGTTGGGTTCTTCCTGTCGCTGTACTTGCAAGGACTGGCTTTCACTCTGTGTGATATGGCAGTCAGTAAAGGGCTGGAGGGGCTCCGTGATTGCTGAGGCTTCTCTGGATCTCACTGGCTGCTGTAATGAGGCTGGGATTGAGGCGTTTGAGGGCCATGCAGGGAGAGCCACAGGAGGCTGGGCCCTAGTACAGTATTGGTCTCTGTGGTTCTGTTTACCCCCACTCTTGCCTTTGGCTCCTTGCCCCCAGGCCCTACTTGCTCCTTGCTGTTGGGGTGCCTCAATGTGCAGCCCCCAGGCTGCGGGCCCCCTGTGGTACTGTCTATGGCAGCGATGACTGCTGGCAAGCACATGGGGTAGTGATGGTGATAACAAAATCCTAGCCATCTAGGGAGTGCCCTGGCCACTCCAGTGCTACCACTTCAAAACCAGCACCCCATCCGCTGCTGTCAGAGCCCTTTGGAGTCCTGGCTGAGCTCTGTTTGGTTTCTCTGAGAGAGTGTTTATGGTGCCAAATAAAGGGCAAATCCAGCATTTGGAGCTTTGGTGACAGTGTCTCCTCGATTCACCACTGTGGAGAAGGGCAAGCTGTTGTACCTATTTTTATTGTAATTACTCATTCTCTCCTACCTCATTCAGTTTATGATCTTCAAGCATGAATACCTGGTTAGATCTGCATAACATCTTATTATTAACCTACCTTTGTTCATGAACAAATGATTGCCACTTACAGTTCTCCTACAGGCTCTGCTATAAATAATACAAATTCTATTTTCTTAAAATAGAAAGATGAGATATCTTACTGCTTCAATGGTTTTCTTGCTTTGCTGGATTATAGGTTTCTTAGACTTGAATATTTGTAGTCAGAGCATTCGGGTTGGGAGGACAGGCTCAATGGTGGAGTACATGCCTAGCGAGCACAAGGCCCTGGGTTCGAGCCCCAGGATCACAAAAGAAAAAAGAGTTATTCGTCCCCAAATTGGTGGGACAGTGCTCCTAGTTGAGAAGGGGGCATACTGTCAACGCCAGCAACCTGTGACTTGCTACCACTCAGGAGTGGCTCCTACTCCAGCCTCAGCGTCTGCTTCTTAGGCCGTTGCCTTCTGGTAAGAAAGTGTTGATACCAGCTGGAAGATGAAAGTTCTCTGCCAGGGCCAGTGCCCACGATCGTCATTACAGAACCAGAGATGGAATGGAAAATAGATTTTTGATACATTTTAAATAAGTCTTTGTCCTTGTGGACAAAATTCAGATAAGAAAGCTTATCAATTATGCTTTTGTTTCTGCTCAGAAACTCATGACTGCTCACTCAAAGGCTCACTTGTTCTTATCCTAAAACACTGTTTACAGTGGCCCAGATGACTGGCAACCAATCCTGGGGATGGGACATTTCTACCCCTGGAAAAGAAGTAACAGTGTGAGATGGGGCAGGGCTGGGGGTGGGGGAGAATGCGTCTCATTCTGCAATCTGATTTTGCAAGAATTCTGAATGAGCTTCCTTAGTCCTGTCTTCTTGCTGAAAATGATTGTGGTTTGTTTCTGGGACAAAAAATAAAGAAGGAAATGAGAAAATTGGTCATCTGGAGTTTTGAAATACAAGCACAGGCATTAAAAGCTCATTTACACAAGTGTCATTTTCCTTTTAAAGGGCAATAGTATGATTCCTTGACTTCATTATCCTGGTCTTTAATCAAGATTCCTAGACAGCTGAGCAGCCCCAGCACATCTGCACAGGGCAGGTGGCCTGGTCTGGCCACACCACTAGTGCACCCTGCATGCCAGGGGAGGGGCTTCCGCTGGGAGCCACCCACTCCCAGCACTTAGAAATAAACATTCCTGTTCTTGGGGTGTAACACAGAAGAGTTATTCACTGCTGGCTTCAATGGTACAAACTACAAAGTGGAATTGACTTTCTACAAAATCCATTTGTTTTCTAGAAAATTCCATACTAGCACTGCGAAAAGGATTTTATTTCCAAACTAATATACTTTTAAGCACAAGATTTACTGAGAAAATGGTGTGGAGTGGAAATTTTCAAGTTCAAGGGGGGAAAAAAAAAACCAATGCCAAGCTTTGATCAGACTTCTTTTTGCCTGTCTGTAAGAGAGTAGATGTTGGCATTTAAGTAGAAGTCAGCAGTTTCTTGGTCCCAAATAAAGAACATTGTGCCAATTCAAAGACAAGTTATTCCTTTTTTTGTTACTAACCAAAAAAATGCAGAGAATTTTAATTCTTCATGGTCTTAGGTCTGAGAAATCTGGGCCGTAGTAGGATCACCCTCTCGGACACACCTGGCTTAGATGGATGACTGCAGTGCGTTTGCATGTGGAGTGTGCAGGGGGTGGAGTAGAAATATACCATAGCATTGTGTCAGATAACCCAAATTGTCACCACTGCCTAAAACTTAAGTTCAGAGCTAGAAAAGCAAGTAGTGACATGTTAGTCTTGCTGAATACTGAGTAAGAAAATCATGGCAGACAGTGAGCCTGTTTTGGAAATGTTCTAAAACCAGACTCTAACACAGTGAGCCATTTTAAATGTAGCTTGCTACGTGTTTGGAGAGAAACACATACTCTTTTATTAGGAACATGAAACAAACTCTTTGAGCTGCAGTACCACTGCGGGTGAATTTAATTGCTGAGATTAATAAATCACAGCTGCAAAAGTTAAATTCTTGGCAGGATTCTTTATTCAGCTGTTTTTCCCTTGCCCCATTACATTCCAGATTTATGGTCTGCATTATGTGTGGAGCCAGCAGTAAGCTCGCTCTTCTCTTCGGCTGGTACTTGCTTGCCCTGGGAGTCTGCGTGGAGGAGCACTGTGCAGCTGACCCTCACAAAGCTGACTATTACATGGCTGCTGTGTACGAGCACCAGGCAGTCTTGAGTCCGAACCCGCTCGCTCTCACCAACCGCAAGCAGGCCTTGGAGCTAATGAGCCAGAACCTGGACATCTACGAACAGCAAGTGATGGCTGCAGCCCAGAAGGCAAGAAATGCTCCTCTTGTAGAACAGAGCAGATGGCTCTCTGGCCCTCGAGCGGTGGTTAGGTGGCCCCTGACCTACCATCCCTCTGGAAGATCAGTCTCGATAGCAAACCTGAGTTGACTTAGTTGGCTGGAGTCTTGCTACCCAGACACAGACCAGCAGCCACAGAGCCTAAGAGCTGGTTAGGAACTTAGCCAGGGTGTGTGTCTCAGTAGCCTCCGAGTGACGCTTTTGCCCTGCAAGAGGCGCTCTGGGCAGGCTCACTAGGCCTCCCCTGGGCTGTGTGCAGGAATCACTGGGTGGATTATAAACAACTGGGTAGGTGGGTCCCCAGGAGGCTGATGTAATTGGTCCAGAGGGGGTGTCAGGTGGATTCTGGGGTTCTTGTTCCGGTTCTCCAGGGGATTCTGATGTGCAGGAGTTTTAATGAACTCCCATGCTCCGCGAGGCATTCACAATTCAACTGAAATGCTAAGCATCCCCAAAGCTGCTGTTTGCTGCCAGCCAATCATGTGGGGCTCACTTTATCTCTGTGCCAGATTAAGCTCAGTCCTAGGTCCTAGCCCAGACAGAATGGACCTAAACCAACAAAGGGCAGGTCGGTGCCAGCCTTTGTAAAGACTTCCTGCTTGGCCACATTCTGCCTCCTGCCAGAAATGGAGGGGCAGGCGAGATGCCCCAGGGGACAGAGGGGAAATGCCCTGGCCAGAAGCATGCAGGTGCGCTGCTGGGAAACCCAGAATCACAGGAAAGTCTGGGCTTTAACCAAATCCAGGCGCTTGAGGACGCCCTGCTCTGCCTCCACAGGAAGCGGAGTAGTTATGTCTAGTTCCCCTGAGTGGGGGCGTGGTGGCTCATGCCTGTAATCCCAGCACATGGGAAGCTGAAGCAGGAGGATTGCTGAGTTCAAGGCCAGCCTGAATTGCCTAGAGAGACCCTGTGTCAAAAAAAGAAAAGAAACCCCAAACTGAATGTCCTTGCTGTTGATGATTTTAAAGGGTAGATCTGGTCATGACTGTCAGTCCAGCCTCGACGGCCTGTCTCAGTCCAGGAGAAGTCAGAGCCAACATCTAGTGCTACACTTTCAAATGCTGGCCTAGAATACACACATGGGTGTGGTGTGTGTGTGTGTGTGTGTGTGTGTGTGTGTGTGTGTGTGATACTGGTGCTGGAAGGCAGCTTCTCATGGATGCCTGACACCTGGCTTCTTGAGCTCCCTGAGTGGTCCAGAACTCACTGTTTCATAGGTCCACTCGTCCAGCAGTGGGACCCTCTGGCCTCCCTGTGCCTGCCCCCAGTGGTCCATCCTTGCACTAAGGAGGACAGCGGGACTCCATCCTCCACACTCTTGCAGGTGGCCAGTTGCAGCTCCACAGGAGATGGAGTTACCAGCTCTTCTTTCCAGACTTCTAGGGGTCTCTGCACACAGCTCTTCAGTACTGGCTGGCAGCGGCAGGCTGCGGCAGAGCCATCTTGTTGTCCCTCTCCTATCCGGAGCTTGCCTCCTGGAAACTTGGGCAGCGACACCTCACTGTGGATTCATCGTGTCCTTGCTGTTGCCACCAACTCCCGTGCCCTTTGCATGCATGCAGACACACTTGCTACCCTTGCACTCCTGTGCTTAGGAGGCCAGTCGAGTGAACCTGAGGGCAGCTCTGCACATTTATGCTGTTAAATGTCATCATTCCGGCCTGTTGGCTATTTTGGGGATCTTTACTGACATCCTGGTATCAGTTACTGTCACGTCATTCACACATTTGATACACACCTCATTTAAGCCTCTGCTGAAGTCAGTGTAAAAAAGATCCCAGCGGCGCCCCTCACCCTCCCACTGACATCCTATCAAGGGCAGGTATTCTTGGGACAGAGGTGTTTGCTGGCCTGGTGCTTAATCCAGCACCTGCAGTTCCACTGACTCCGTGCTTCATCCCATCACAAGACCTTCCTGAGACATTCAGCAGACAGCGAGACTGTGAACATTGAATTCCCACTTCCAAGCTTTAATGACCTGCCCCTTGTGGAAATGCAGAGCATGGTTTTGTCAGGCTTGTGCCAGCCACACGGCCTGCGTCCTTCTCTGTCAGTGGGCCAGGACTGGGGGTGCAGTTGTTTGTTGTTAGTTCTTCAGCTCCCCTATGTAGCTACATGTGGTAAAACAAGTTTTAAGACAAATTTAAGTATTTGTCAAAATTGTGCGTCAGACTTGCTGTAAAAAGAGGTTCTTTTTTTTTTTTTTTCTTTTTTGTATTATTTTAGGGAAGGGTCTACAGGGTGTTCAGGGTCTCACTACTAGATTGGACTCGTAGTGATCCAGCCTCCCAAGAACTGGGATTACAGGCATGCACCAACACACCCAATCTAAGACAGAGGTTCTTGAACAAATGAACTTAATATTTCTTTTGGTACAGACATTCAGGGGGTGGATAAAGGGGCCCAGCTTCAGGATGATTAGGCTTGTTAGCTACTTAGGTAGGTGACCTTCATTCCTCTAAAGGACTTCTTGATCTCATTATAAAGCCCATCAGAAAATCACTGAAGCTATTAGGAGTGCTAATTGCTTGTCACATCAGCCCCAAAGTTCTGCCCCAACTCAGGCTTGGTTCCTGGCCGTCTTCCTGGCTGATGTGTGCTCTGGGAATGCAACTTGCAGCTTCGTTTTCAGGTTAACCTAACGTGTATACGTAACTTAAATGGTATTCTCTGTGAAAAACCATTCCGTGTTCTCACCTGTTAAGTATCTGTCCAAGGGTAATTTTCAGAAATTAAATGCATTGGGCCAGGGAGATAACTCAGTAGACTAAGCACTTGCCTGGCAAGCACAGGGTCCTGAGTTCAAGCCCCGGTATCGCTAAATAAATAAATAAATTAATTAATTAATTAAATGCGTGATTCTTATATAATTATAGAATAAACAGTGTTTTTATTTAACTCATTAGTTAATGAAGGACCCAGTAAGATGGTAAAGCTGATTTAGAGGACTGGAGAAATAGAAATGTGTCAGGCTAGTGAATGATAAACTACTTTTTCTAATAGATAGAAAGCTGGCTAATATTCTCCATTCAATTATAGTCTTCAGTTGTCCAGATCATTAAAAATTCTTTGGAGTATGGAAATCCCAGTGTAATTTGGGAAGGCATGTGTTGTTATCTTGTTGTGCTCTTTTCTTTTTAGTGCAGCGTCTGCAGGGTCTCCCTGCACACATGGGGCTCATAGTGATCCTCCTGTTTTCAGCCTCCCAAGCGCTGAGATTACAGGCCCACGCCACCATGCCCAGACCCAGCTGCCGTCTCAGCACACCCTGGGGCAGGGCCAGCCCGGCACACCAGGGATCGAACCCTGGTCCCTGCACCTGCCTCAGCAGGCACTTTTGTCACTGAGCTAGCTGGCCGGCCCCTCATCTTGCTTCTGAAGTTGTGATAATTTTTCCTTATACCGTCATTACTAAGGGTGCAGTGGAGTAGCCAATGGCAGTCTATGCCGGAGGGCTCCTATATGGCCTCACCTTTCTGGAAAGCTATTTGACAGTGTGTGTTAAGAAATTAAAACTTTTCATGTTGTTCAATCCTATAATTTCACTCATAAGAGTTTATTCTGAAGAAATAACAGGGATTCAAAAACTTGTCTACCACACTCATTGAGTAAATGTTTTGAGCACGTGCTATGCATGTGGTCACCGCAATCTTATTTTTGTTACAAAAGTTGGAAATAATTCAAATGTCCAATATTAGAGGAGCAACTCTGGGGTCCTCTTTAATTTAATGTGGCCATTACAAATGTTATTTATTTATTTATTTATTTATTGTGGTACCAGGGGTCAAGCTCAGGACCTTGCGCTTGCCAGGCAAGCACTTATTCCACTGAGCTATCTCCCTGGCCCCACAAATGTTATTTTTGAAAGAATTCAATTTTGAAAAAATTCAAGGTACAAAACTGTATATTTGTTATCTCAGTTATGCACACATATTTACAGAAGGAAAACTAGTAGTAGGATTTTTTTTTAATTTTTTTTTATTTATTTGAGAGAGAGAGAGAGAGAGAGAGAGTGTGTGTGGTGTGTGTGTGTGTGTGTGTGGCCAGCTCAGCCCACCAGGGGGCGGGGCTGGCTGGCCATGTGGTGCTGGGGGATCGAACCGCGGTCCCTGATGCTTTGCCAAGCTTGTTCTAAGTAGGTGCTTCAGACCACTGAGCCATCTCTCCAGCCCCTAGTAGTAGGATCTTAATAATTATCTTTGTATTGTAGGATTATGAATTGTTTTTTTTTTTCTTTTTTTTTTTTTTTAATTTTTTATTTTGGTAGAACCGGGGATTGAACTCAGGCCCTTGCGCTTGCCAGGTTAGTGCTTATTCCACTGAGCCATCTCCCCAGCCCCTTGTTTATTTTTCTGTTTTCCCTATTTTCTACAGTTAATGAAAGCTTTTGCAACCAGAAAAAAAAAAAAAAAACCTTAAAAATTTGCAGTGCACTTCTGAAGTAAAAGCCTCAACCACACACTCCTTTAGATTACTCATGCCTTCTCTGCCTGCCTTCTCTTTCTGCACTGAAGCTTGATGTTTTAATCCGCATAAATGGAGAGCAACAGAAGAAAGAGGCCCTGGTGGGGGCTGTGTATGTCTTTAGCTTGCAGCAGCTGCCCCGGGGAGCCCAGCATGTTCCCATGTAGGGGAAAAGCTCTGGAGTGGCTGGAGTCCTAAAGGAGCCTCCTAGTTCCCGCGGGGAACTGAGAGTTTAAGTGTGTCCTTGGCTCTGTGCTGAGATGAACACGCTTGACTAGGCTGCCGGCCCCATGGGTCCCGAGCCTGGCTGCACATTCGAACCCCCCGGGGGACTGTGAAACACTATTGCCCGGACCCCGCCCATCATCAACTGAACCAGACGTTTTCGGGGTGGGCACGGCATCAGTGAGGTTTCAGAGGTTCCACAACCTCTTCAGCTGCAGTGACTGAGCACCACGGACTGGAGATAACCACGACCCTGTGTAATCAGCGCCACCTTTTATTGCCCTGGCCACTCAGAACCCCTCCTGTATGCTTGGTAAACGCCCGAGACCTTTCATGTTCCCTCCCTCCCTCCATCCCTGACGTGCTCTCAGGCACAATTATGGTTCTTCCTAGAAGAAGCAAGACAGCTCCCCTGGGACTCGGGTCCCTGATGAGAGCTGAGCCACCACCTTGGTATCTTGGGCTCCTGGTACAGAGTAACTTCTGGATGGCTGCCCAGTGGACTGATGAATGAAATGGGGCTTGCCACGGTCAGATCACAGACTGTACCTTGATATTTTGCCTTCCAGGGTGTACAGATTATAGTGTTTCCAGAAGATGGCATTCATGGGTTCAACTTCACAAGAACGTCCATTTACCCATTTTTGGACTTTATGCCATCTCCCCGGCTTGTCAGGTGGAACCCGTGCCTGGAGCCACACCGTTTCAGTGACACAGAGGTATGTGACAACCCAGCCTTCCTCCTCAGAAGCCCAGGGCATGCAGAAATGAGCAAAGCCAACCACCAGAAGCCACGACATGCTGAGACTAAGAGGAGGCCCTAGGGCCTGAAGGGACAAACACAGCAGCGTGAATCCATTCAGCTAGTGTCAGGACAGCATTTCAAGTCGCTTAATCATCTGTGGATTTCCTTTTTTTTTTTTTGTATTTTTAAGGAAGGGTCTACAGGGTGTTCAGGGTCTTACTACTAGATCAGATTTATAGTGATCTGCCTGTTTACAGCCTCCCAAGAGCTGGGATTACAGGTGCGTGCCACCACGCCCCATCTCAATTGCCATCTCAGTGCACCCCCGGGGTGGGGCTGGCACATCAGACCCGGGGATCGAACCCCTAGCCCCTGCGCCTGCTTGCAGGTGCTTTAATCCGCTGAGCTATTTGGCCGGCCCTCCATTTGTTAATTACACAAAAAATACATGACTATAAACTTATTAAACAAGTCAAACAAGTTTTTTAAAAAGTAAAAATTTGCCTTCACCACAACTCATTCCTTAGCCCCTTCCTTTCCTAGAGAAATTCCCAGCTCCCATCACCATCTCACTGTGCATTGTCCGCAGCCTTCTCTCTGCGGTGCCTGTTCTGTCCTTGTTTAGCATGCTGTTTACTCTTTTTTTTTTTTTAACTTTCTTATTTTATTTTTATTTAGTGTGTGTGTGTGTGTGTGTGTGTGTGTGTGTGGCCAGCTCAGCCCACCAGGGGGCGGGGCTGGCTGGCATGTGGTGCTGGGGGATTGAACTGCGGTCCCTGTGCTTTGCTAAGCTTGTTCCAAGTAGGTGCTTTAGACCACTGAGCCATCTCACCAGCCCCTTACTCTTGTTATTATGAGCAATGTCTCAATAAATATTGTTGCACGTATATTGTGTAAATGTCCAAGATTTTGTGTAAGGTGAAACTCCTAGAAAAGGAATTTGTTAAGAGATATGCACATTCTAAATTATTTTGAAGAATACCACGCTCCTGCCTTAAAAGATTCTTACGTCATTTTTATTCCCAGTGATAGTCTGTGAATGCCTTTTTCCTACTACCATGATCCATGCTGGATAGAATAAGCCTTTGCAATTTTGTCTAACGAAGGTGAAAAGTGATACCTTTTTATTATTTTAATTTGCATTTTTTTGTTACTAATGAGGTTGAACATCTTTTCAGATATTTCTTGGCCATTGTATTTGTTCTTCCGTGAATCCCATTTATATCCTTTTCATGATTTTATAGTGCTTTTTTTTTCTATTAGCTTATGATAGCGATATATTTGATACAATAGAGAAACTTTTTTTTTTTTTGGCAGAACCGGGGATTGAACTCAGGCCCTTGCACTTGCCAGGGAAGAAGCGCTTATTCTACTGAGCCATCTCCCTGGCCCAACTTTTCTATTAAGAAATGAGACTAAAGGCAGGATTTTTTTATTTTTTATTTTATTTATTTATTTATTTTTTTTTTTTTTTTTTGCGGAACCGGGGATTGAACTCAGGCCCTTGCGCTTGCCAGGGAAGCGCTTATTCCACTGAGCCATCTCCCTAGGCAGGATTTTTTAAATTCACGTATAGGAGGCTGGGGACATGGCTCAGTGGAATAAGCGCTTTCCTGGCAAGCACAAAGGCCTGAGTTCAATCCCCGGTTCCACTAAAAAATAAAAAATAAAAAAATCCACGTATTTATACTTTTGTTTTTATAGGTCCTGCAGCGCCTGAGTTGTATGGCCCGCAAGGGGGAGATGTTCTTGGTGGCCAATCTTGGGACAAAGCAGCCTTGTCATAGCAGTGACCCAGCATGCCCACGTGACGGGAGGTACCAGTTTAACACCAACGTTGTGTTCAGCAGCAATGGAACCCTTGTGGACCGCTACCGGAAACACAACCTGTACTTTGAGGCAGCTTTCGATAGTCCTCGTAAGGTGGATCACATCACCTTTGACACCCCCTTTGCTGGCAAGTTCAGCATGTTCACGTGCTTCGACATACTGTTCTTTGATCCCATTGTTAGACTCCTCAGAGACTCAGACGTGAAGCATGTCGTGTACCCGACGGCCTGGATGAATCAGCTCCCGCTCCTGGCAGCTATTGAGATTCAGAAAGCCTTTGCCGTTGCCTTTGGTGTCAACGTGCTGGCAGCTAACATCCACCACCCATCCCTTGGGATGACAGGGAGTGGCATCCATTCCCCTCTGAAGTCCTTTTGGTACCATGACATGGAAAATCCCGGAGGTCACCTCATAATCGCCGAGGTAGCCAGAAATCCTCAGGGTCTTGGTACAGAGAATGCAGTAGGCAAAATGGATCCGTCCCATAGCAAATTTTTAAAAATTCTGTCAGGCAATCCACATTGTGAGAAAGATGCTCAGGAAGTCCATTGCGATGAAGATGCAGAGTGGAGCTTTCGCACGCCTCCCGTGTTTTATTCTGAGATGATGTATGACAATTTCACCCTGGTCCCTGCCTGGGAAAAGGAGGGCTATCTCCAAGTCTGTTCAAACAGCCTCTGCTGTCATTTACTCTACAAGAGGCCCACTCTGACCAAAGAGCTGTACGCCCTGGGCGTCTTCGATGGCCTTCACACTGTGCACGGCACTTACTACATTCAGGTCTGCGCTCTGGTCAAGTGTGGGGGCCTTGGCTTCCACACCTGTGGGCAGGAGATCACAGAGGCCTCGGGGACATTTGAGTTCCACCTGTGGGGCAACTTCAGCACTTCCTATATCTTTCCATTGTTTCTGACTTCAGGAATGACCCTGGAAATCCCTGACCAGCTTGGCTGGGAAAATGACCACTATTTCCTGAGGAAAAGTAGACTGTCCTCTGGTCTGGTGACAGCGGCTCTGTATGGAAGGCTGTATGACAGGAACTAGGAGAAGCTTGTGGTCTGTGGGTACACAGCCCTGCACCTCCCCAGGCCACAGGTTGAGAGTGCTGGGACACTTCTGCCAGAGTGTGGAAGCCCGCTTTTGTGGCACTAGATCCCACCCTGGAAACTGTGGGGAGAAGTAGGAGAGGCAGGTCCCTCTTCTTCCTTTTTGAAAAATCTTTTTGAGATAGAGTCTCACAGGGCTGGCCTTGAACTCACTGTGAAGCCCAGGCTGGCCTCAAGCTCACCACGAACGTCCTGCCTCAGTCTCCTGAGTGCTGAGGTTGAAAGTGTGCGCCACCCCCGGCCCACCTCTTCCTTCTAAAAGTCAATGATCAAGACGTTTTCTGGAGTTTTCTATTCACATTGGTCTTCTAAGCCACATCTTCCTCTAGTAAATCTGAAAGTACACAATGGGTTGTAAGAGCTGAAACAAAAATAAATTTCAGTTGATGTTTTTACACATCCACACGCCGTGGTTTGTTTTGTTTGCTGTTGATCAAAGGACACCCAGGACATGTAAATATTTTACAAGCCACGGGCATTTTCCAAGGTAAGCAAAGCTGTGTAAGAGAGGGCTGCTGCACGCACGCGGCCCATTCTGCTCAGCCGGAGCTCTGTCCAGGTGCAGGGGCAGCGCCAGAGCCCCCAGCAGCACGGAAGCACAGGCCTGGCAGCAGTTCTTAAAAATTAAAAAAAGTTGGTCTCGCGTCTGCCTTTGTGTCATTAAATGGAATGTGCAGGCGGGTCTTGAAATAACGGAGCATGAGTGCTGTGCTCTGGGGCGAGGAGCCGGGGGCACTGGAAAATGCCAGAGGGGGCAGCTAGGAAGGAGTGAGTAATCGAATTCTTTTTATACCACAAGTCTTGTCCAGGATTCCAGGGGCCTTAATGTGCTTTGTTCACTTTGGCCCAGTTGAACCACACAGGATGAAGTGATGCTGACCAGATAGATGCACGTTGTGGCTGGCAGGGGTCTCCTTGGAGATGGGCCTGGTGTGCCACAGCTGAGCACTCCCTGCGGGAGCTGAGGGGAGCCCACCCTGGCCCGCACTCCCCCAGCAGGAGTTTTGAGAGTTGCCCCAGACTGCGAGCAGGAGCCGCTCCCAGCTTGAGCTCTGGCAGCAGAGTTCAAATTCAGCATGACAAGGACATTCCTAGGCCATGGGTAGTTTGTCTCCAACATTTCAAAGCCATTTAAAAAAAATTTTAATTGTTCATAGTAACTACGTCAGGTAATTTTCTTTTTACTTTTTTTTTTTTTTGCGGTACCAGGGATCCAGCTTGCCAGGCAGACTCTTATGCCACACCCCGGCCCTATGTCAGATAATTTTTAAGTATAGAATGAATAGTTTTCTGTGACTTGCCTCTTAGGTGTAGTAGCTGTATGATTTGAACTTTTAAACCAGCTTTTTATCCACTTAGCAGTCAAATTATTTAAATACAGAATGACTAAAGGTTGCATATTTTTCATTTTAGTAAGATAACTGTAAATATAAAAATGGCAGTTTTATCAAATTTGTTCAATAAGTTTTCTATGTACAGTATATTTTAAAACATTCAGCCCCTGCCTGAGTGAAGCTGGGAATGGCCAGCACACAAACTCTCTGCCGAAACCCTGGGAGTGAACTGTTCAGTGGGTAAAAACACTATATGCTAACAAACTGACAGAGTTGTATGAAGTGAAACGTCCCATAGGAAGAAAATATTCAAAGAGGAGGAGAACAAGGGGGTGGGCAGGGGAAAGGAAAGAAGGGAAAAGTAAAAAAAAAAAAAAAAGAAAAAAGGAAAAAATGGAAGCAAAACTTTTGTAAATGAGTAGGGGAATAGAAAGCCAAGTTAGATCATGTACAGGTACAAATTCTCTATGAGGAATGTGATCATTATGGCTAAAATGTACAAGACAAGGGCCGGCCAGATAGCTCAGCCGGCTAAAGGCAGGGACCGGGTTAGATCCCGGGTGTGCCGTGCTGGCCCTGTCCCGGGACGCGCTGGGACAGCGACTGAGACGGCATGGTGGCGCAGGCCTGTAATCCCAGCGCTTGGGAGGCTGAAAACAGAATGACTATGAGTCTGATCGGTGCAGTGACACCCTGTAGACCCTGTGAATCCTCAACTCTCAACTGAATACATTAAAAAGAAAAGAAAGAAAAAAAATTAAAACGTACCAGTGCGATCTGATTGAAAAAAGATTTGGGGGAAAAAAAGGCGGGGGGGAAAAGGAGTAAAGTCTCCCCACTCCCGGTCAGTGTAGCCCTCCAGACCCTCTCCTGGCCTTCTGGCTTGGAGCTCCGAGGGTGACCTCGGCCGGCGGGCAGGGATTGCGCGCGCCACCTGGGGGCCTGCGGGTGTGTCTAAACGGCCTAGTGCTGTTTTCGCACTTGTGGGGGCGTGTGAACCAGGCCAAGTGCGCCAGGAGCAAATCCCGAGCAGCCCCTCCTGGCTCCCCGCTCCCGGCAGAGGCTTGGCGTGAGTCAAGTCTCCAGGAAACAGTGGCTCACTCCGAATTCCTGAGGCAGCCTTGGGATCCCCACGCCCTGGGCAGCGCCCCCGGACGGGCGGGCGCAGGACCTCTCCCAGCCGGCGGGCGGCCGTGGCTCCAGATGTGTGGCTGGCAGTGGGCCCTTCTGCTTTCCTGCCCGATCCCCCGAGACACAAAAAATATCTTTAAAATGTGCATTGTTGCTCTGCGCCAAGACGATTCGAATCAGCCTGAGAACCAGCGCAAAAGGCCGGTCCCGAATCCACGCTTGGTAGATCTGCTTCATCCAAGAAGCAACCAACAAGGGCGTTACATGTACTTTCAAACCTTCGAAGCAAAACAAATTTTCCTTGAGTTAACCTGCTACTAAAAATTTAGAACAAATTGCTCATGAAGCAGAAATTAGAGGAAAAGCACATGATGGCAGGACAGAGTGACTCTTACAGTTAAGGACACTGGTGACTAACGCCGAGACGCTTTTGTCGGTGGGATCCTGCCCTTCAGGAAGTAAAGAGCGATCTTAACAGCGACACACAGGCAGGAAATCAAGTATATTTTTGTTTAAATCAGACTCAGGGGAAGTGGCGTCGGGGCGGGTTCTTGCGTGCGCGCCGCTGCGTCCGCCCGGCTGTGGCTCTCCTCACAAAGGAAAGGAGAGGAGCTGCGAGCCACGTTCACACTGACTTAAGGGATCTGTTTCCACAGAAGGTAGAAAGTCACACACTGCCCTGTCCCGGTCCCAGCGCCCTCTCCAAAGAGGCAGTCCTGGCCACGGCTTCCACTGAGGGGAGCCCCTGGCCTCCCCAAGCCCACAGGGGTCCGCTCCCTTGATCCTGGCACGCTGGGCAGGACCCGGCCCCTGCCCATAACCAGCCGAGCAGCAGGCTGGGTGGCAACAGAGGTGGCCCCGAACAGATGTTCTGCCTGCAGAGGCGTCATTCCCAGTGAAACAGAACTGCTCAGCTTACTGCAGGGTGAACAAATGGTTTCTCTGCAAAGTACATTTATATATAGCAAAATAGCAAACTTACAGTTGTCTAAATTGATATGCGAAGTGTGATTGAAAACTATGGTAAATACTTAAAAAGAAGTATTACAAGGGCCGGTGAGATAGCTCAGTGGACTAAGTGCCTGGTTTGGCAAGCGCTGGGACCTGGGTTTGATCCTGGCTGCCACATACCACCCTGGCCCTGTCCCCAGGGTGCACTGAGCTGGCCAACGAGTCCAGGCATGGCGGCTCACGCCTGTAATCCCAGCCCTGGGGCGGCTGAAAACAGGAGGCTCACTCCGAGTCCAAGCTGTGTAGTGAGACCCTGTAAAATGAAAAAAAAAAAAAAAAATTAAAAGAATTATTACAGTAAAGACACATTGCCCTCAGTCCCTGTCAGAGTCCTCCCTTGTGCTTCCATCAAACTTCTCCCATGACTCCTGTCGCTTTCCGAAGCGGTTCTGGAAGTCGGTTTTCTGTTGGTGAATGTAGTTGTACTGTAATGGCTGGCTGAATGTCCTGAACCAACTCAAATGGTTACCTTTCATGGCCATTTGGACTTTGAAAAAGTTGACGAAAGAGCCAGAAGTCACACGATGCCAGATTGAGGGCACGGGGTAGAGGAGGTGACAATGAAATGCTGTTACAAGTCTGCCTTTCCTTTGGGCAGCAGCAGCATGACATTCACTAAATATTTTTTTAAATCATACTTCATAAAGACCCCAAAGAAGACTTCCAGAACTGCTTCAGGAATTGGCAAGAACCATGGTCTAGTTGTGTTTGAAGGTGTATTCAAAGACAGGGATATTGAGAGGGATGAATGGCAGTGTGTCCTTCACTAGAATGCTTTGTAGAAATTTCGGCACATACCCATGCTATTGTGCAAAAAGGCCTGGATTTAGACGAACACCACCAGTGAGGAGATGCACAAGGAGGAGCACATGGAGGGCTGTGCCCTCAGCCGGGGCAGGGCCTGAACGCAGCCTCAGCCTTCCTCCACGGCCAGGCTAGCCTTCTTGTGAGGATCCAGCCCAGCGACAAGGCCCCAGACAAGAGGTGCTCTGTTGTTTGTCTCGGGCATGCATAGGCTGTTGCCCTGGAGTCCTGATGAGTCCTCTGAAAAACAGCACCACCAGCTTTCTCATTCACGCTGCACACAGTGGATGGCCAGGGGTTTAGGTTTCCTCTCCTGGAATTCATACTGCGGACTGGGACCAACTCTAGGAATCTCAAGTTATTCCTGAATAATTACAGAATTATAAAGTTGTATATGGTGTGATTTCAAAACAAGGGGGCTCTAATTCTTTAAAAATTGCTGATTCAGTCAGATGGGAATCTTTGCATCTTTCAAAAATCAGTTGTGGGGGCTGGCGAGATGGCTCAGTGGTCTAAAGCACCTACTTGGAACAAGCTTGGCAAAGCACGGGGACCGAGGTTCAATCCCCCAGCACCACATGCCAGCCAGCCCCGCCCCCTGGTGGGCTGAGCTGGCCACACACACAC